ACGCCTTTATTTACATTCGATAGTGAAGTGTTGACATATGTGTATTTACAAACATTGGTACTTTGTGATGTCCTTGACATTGATGCCAATGTTACATTTTTATCTTTATAGCTAGGTACAGCGGTCATTTTAATTGATTATCGTACAAGGATCTACCTCATTCTTGACCTCGACTTACAAATTAGTTACATTGTAATATGCATAAGACTACGACACTATTTTCTTGCAACTTGTTTTATAATTATAGATTTTGAATATCTGAAAAAAAATACATTATTGAAATTCCTAGCAATACAAACGTCGTAAGTGGCATCATTGCCTGGTATTAAACGGTTCTAAAGGGGACGCCATTATTACAGTCTATTGTTGTGAAATAGATATTAGCCGAGTTCAGTGTTTTGTGTCTTTTTAAACTGTGTTTTTTTATTTAATTTCAATAAAAATGCCAAAGCGGTGTATAATATGCCGACAATTACAGGAAAAGAGCCAAATATGTGCTACTTCTTTTCACAAGTAAGTTTGACATTGTTTCCATGGGCGTTCTTACAAGGGTGTAAGGTGTCCTAAGTATTTTATTTGTTAATTTATAATATTTGTATTTTGATACTGCCACTAGCTCTGTGTTTATTTGTAGAATACATAAGATCCTGCGATACGAGCAGTGTGGCTAGAAAATTTCGCCGTATCTGAATATGATTTTTCAAAGGATAATTATGTCTGTCGAAGCAATTCCGTGCTACAGATATTAAGGTAACAGTAACTGGAAAACGATGTCTCACACATGGAGCTGCCCCTATTAATACAACATTTGGAAGGTAATACGTTTTAGCACAGTGTTGATGAAATGGTTGTGCCGTCTCAAAGGTTCCCTCTTCGAGAAATTGCCAGTGAAGGAAATTTTATAGATGTTGCTATAAAACATCTTCAATCACATGTTGTCCCTGTTCCATAAGAGACGAGCTGTCAATGTTGTGAGCTCAAAATTCAGCTTATTTTTGTTGCGTACATTTAAAACATGCTTATTTTCCCATACGATTAAATGTTGTTCAATGTAAATTCATTTTTCCGTTACTTTTAGTACAAATATGTTTTGTTTTCTTTGCATTGTTTATATTCCAGCAGATTTTAATTAAATATATTTT